AAGAATTAAGATAATTAAAATGTCCAGACTACACAATGCAATTTATAGATTCAATGCAATTCCCATTAAAATATCAACAGCATATTTCCCAGAGCAAGGACAAATATTCCAAAAATTTATATGGAAACAAAAAAGACCTCGAATAGCCACAGTCATCTTGAGAAAGAACAGAGTGTGAGGGCTCACTTTACCAGATATTAAACTGTACTACAAAGCCACTGAAATCAAAACATCCTTGTATTGGTACAATGACAGAAATATAGATCAATGGAACAGAACAGAGAACCCAGAAATAGACCTGCAGAATTATGGTCAGTGAATATTTGACAAGGGAAGCAAGAGCATATAATGGAGTAAAGACAATCTCTTCAATAAATGGTGCTGGGAAAATTGGACAGCTACACAGAAAAAAAATGAACTAGACCACCAATTTACACCATACAGAAAAATAAACTCAAAATGGGTAATAAAAACTTAAATGTAAGTCACAAAACCATAAAAATCCTGGAAGAAAACATAGGTAGCAAAGTCTTAGAAATCTCACGTAGTGGAAATTTCACTGATACATCTCCTAGAGCAAGAGAAACAAAAGAACAAAATAAACATATGGGACTACACCAAACTAAAAAGCTTTTGTACATCAAAAGAAATCAATCAGCCTTGCGCGGCTGGGCGTGACTCAGCGGTTGGGCGTCGACCTAGGATACAGGCGATTGGGGTTCGATTCCCGGTCAGGGCACATGCCCGGGTTGTGGGCTCCATCAATGCGATCAATGACTCTCTCATCATTGATGTTTCTGTCTCTCTCTCTCCCTCTCCTTTCCTCTCTCTGAAATCAATAAAGATATATTTAAAAAAAAAGAAAAAGAAAAAAAAAATAGAAATCAGCCTTAATATATAAAGGAAACCCATGGTATGGGAGAACATATTTCCTAAGAATGTATCTGATAAGGGGTTTATTTCCAAAGTTTATAAAGAACTCATACAGTTCAAGAAGAGGAAGACAAAATATCCAATTAAAAATGGACAGAGGACCTGAACAGACACTTATCCAAAGATGGCATACAAATGGCTAAGAGACATATGAAAATATGCTCAATGTTACTAATCATCAGAGAGATGCAAATTAAAACCACAATGAGGTATCACTTCATACCTGTAAGAATGGCTACCATCAACAAATCAACAAATGACATGTGCTGGCAAGGATGTAGAGAAAGGGGAACCCTGGTACACTGCTGGCAGGAATACAGCCTGGTGTAGCCACTATGGAAGTATGGATGTTCCTCAAAAATTAAAAATAGAACTGCCTTTTAACTCCATGATTCGACTTCTAGAAATATATCCTAAGAACCCTGAAATACTAATCAGAAAGAATATATGCAGCCTTATGTTCATAGCAGCACAATTTACAATAGCTAAGATCTGGATACAGCCCAAGTGCCCATCAGTAGATGAGTGGATAAAAAAGCTGTGGGATATTTACACCATGGAATAGTATGCAGCTGTAAAGAAGAAGGGTCCCATCCCTTTGGGACAGGATGGATGGACCTGGAGAATATTGTGCTAAGCGAAATAAGCCAGGCAGAGAAAGGCAAACATTACATGATCTCACTTACCTGTGGAATCTAAAGAACTTAATACACTGATGAAGAGAATACATTCAGTGACATGTAGGCAGGGATCAGAGTGATGAATCTCAGAGGGAAGGAGGATGGTGGGTGGGTGGGTGCGTGGAGGGAGGGGATTAGCGAAAGAATTTAAATGTGTATATGCACAACTCAAGGACAGGGACAATGGTGTGGTTAGGGACTGAGAAGAGGGGTGGGGGCGTGGTCGGAGGGGTCAATGGGGAGAAAAAAGAATATCTGTACTATTTTGAACAGAAAATAAATAAATAAATGAATAAATAATCAATCAAACATCAAAAAGAAAAATAGAAATAGAAATTTGAATAGACCTATGAATTGTAAGAAGATTGAATTAGTAATAAAAAATTTCTACAAAGAAAAGTCATTGATCAGATTGCTTTGAAGTTGAAATCTACCAAGTATTTAAAGTAGACCTAAAAACAATCCTTCTCAAACTCTTCCAACAAACTGAAGAAGAAATACTTCCTAAATCATTCTATTGGGGCCAGTGTTACCATAATATGAACACCAGACAAGACACTACAAGAAGAATTCTATATATAAACATCCCTTATAAATGTTGATGCAAAACTCCTCAGCAAAAGACTAAGGCAAACTGAATTCAACAGCATATTAAAAGATTCATAAAACATGACTGAACAGAATTAATTCCTGTAATTTAACAGTGGTTCAACATATGAAAATCTATCAATGTAATATGTCACACTAATAGCATAAAGGAAAAAATGAAACAGAACAACAACAAAAAACCATGGTCTTCTCAGTTGATACAGAATAAAGTATTTGGCAAAATTAAACACAGTTTTATGATAAAAAAGAGTCAACAAACTAGGAATAGAAGGAAACCTCCTTAATATAATAAAGGCCATGTATGTAAAACAGAAACCAACATCATACTCAATGGTAAAATATTAAAAGTTTCCCTTTGCGGTTCAAAATCAAGACACAGATGCCCACTTTCACAACTTCTATTCAATATAATGTTGAAAGGTCAATGCAGAACAATTAGGTAAGAAAAAAATAAATAAAAGTCATTCTAAGTATAAAAGAAGTAGAATTTTCTCTGTTTGCAGGCCATATGTCCTTTAATGCTGAAAAACCTAAAGATTACACACACACACACACACACACACACACACACACAAACATACACACACACAAACACTTTTAGAACTAACATACAATTTGGCAAATTTGCATGGAAGAAAATCAACACACCAACATAAGTTGTGTTTATATGCATTAATAATGAATAATCCAAAAAGAAAATTTAAAAATCCATTCACAAATACATCAAAAAATAAAATACTTAAAAATGAAATTGTCTGGCTAGGCATGGCCCAGTGGTTGAGCATCGACCTAGGATCCAGGAGATAGAGGTTGAATTCCGGGTCAGGGCATGTGCCCAGGTTGCGGGCTTGATCCCCAGCCTGGGGCATACAGCAGGCAGCCAATCAATGACTCTCTCATCACTGATGTTTCTACCTCTCTGTCTCTCTCCCTGTTCCTTCCTCTCTCTGAAATCAATGAAGATATATATATTTTTTAATGAACTTAACTAAGAAGGTGAAAGCCCTGTACCCTTAAAACTACAACAAATGCCTGAAAAACTTAAAGAAGACATAAGTAATTTGAAAAAAAAATCCCATGTTCATAGATTGGACAATCATGTTAATATTACCCAATGTGTTGTATAGATTCATTGCAATCCCACTAAAATCCCAGTGAATTTTTTTAGAGATATATAAAAATCTATCTTAAATTTCATATGAAATCACAAGGGACCCCAAATAACCAAAACAAGCTGGAAAAAGGAATAAAATGGAGGTTTACACTTCCTGATTTCAAAACTTACCACAAAGCCACAGTAATCAAAACAGTGTAGTAGTGACATAAACACAGATATATAGACCAGTGGAATATAACATGGACCCCATAAATTAACCACATATAAATAGTCAAATCATTTTTATAAGGATGCCAAGACCATGCAATGGGGAAAGTATAGCCTCTTTGCCAAATGGTGTCTGGAAAACTGTATATACACATACAAAACAATGAAATTAGGCCTTTACATTGCACCCTATACAAAAATTAGCTCCAAATGGATCAAAGATGTAAATTTAAGAGCTAGAATGATAAAACTCTTTGAAGAAAACATAGGAGGAAAGCTTCATGACACTGGATTTGGCAATGATTTGTTCAATATGACACCAAAAAGCAAGGAACAAAAGAAAAACTAAGTAAAAAAGACTTCATCAAAATTTAAAACTATTGCTCATTAAAGGACACTATCAGCTAAGTAAAATGGTAACCATGGAATTGGAAAATTATTTGCAAATCTTATACGTCATAACAAATTGATATTCAGAATATATAAATAATTCCTACAATTCAATAACAAAAAATACCCAAAAATGAACTGATTGCAAAATGGGTAAAAGAGTCAAATAGACATCTCTCCAAAGAATTTATCTTAAAAGCCAATAAACACATAAAAACATGATGTTCAAATAAAAGAACTTATGTTCATAAGCATAACCTGTGGACACAGACATTGGTATGGGGAAAGCCTGAGGGTGGGATGGATGTAAGGGTGGAGGGGATCAGTGGAGATAAAAAAAAGGACATCTGTAACATTCTCAACAATAAAGATAAAGAAACTTAAAAAAAAAAAAAAAAA